CAATGGGCGGCTTGCCGGCATGTGCAGGCACTCGACTCCTTTTCGTGGTCTCGTGAGAAAGGCAAGGCCGGGGATTCGGAACAGTTTTTCGGGCTTCTTCGAGTTGCCAAGAAGGACATCGGGCCCTTACTTTCTTCGTCTGGGCAGCAAGGTGTTTTTGTATCGGCCCCGCGGGGCCTCCCGGATGCCGCTGCTTGCGAGATTGCTTGGGTTGACCGCGCCCCAAAGGAGAAGCCGAATGATTACCTTGAAAGGGTCACTCGCATGTCTTCTGCACACGGCCTTGCCCTGTCCAACATGCGTCTGGGCTGGAGGCGACCGCTTGACAAAGATGAGGTTCCTGTCAGGGTGTGGAACGTGACTGATGTTCCCCGGGAGTGGGACCACTGTGCTGTTGCAGACCTGCTTGGCACTGCTTTTGCTGATCCTGTGATTCTGTCCCACCGATGGGCCAAGAAAGCTGTCACTTACCGCTTCAAGGCCAAGGTGAAAGCCGGGGGCGATCGCGATGTCGTGCCTCTCATTTGCGAGCATTTAGGTGCGAATGTCAAACTCTGGGCGTCACTCGCCCCACCCCGCAAGCAACCGACTTTTGTCAAGCCTGTCTATACGCGCTCGGTGCCTGTTGTCAAGGCAGCAGACACGCCGGAGATCCCGACTGAAACCGTTGCGGTCCCCACTGCCAAAACTCAGGACGAGGAAGGCAAGGACCAGTCACAGTCCAGGCAGGCCAAGCAGGAAGTGCGCCAGTTTCCTTCTGACCTCAAGCTTGTTGATTGCCCCCGTGATGGCAACTGTGTCCTACATGCCTTCTCAAAAGCCTTCAAGCACTTCCGTGACGAGGACCGGCGCCCGCGCATTTTGAGAGCTGAGCTGGTTACCCACCTCCTCAAGCACGAGCGGTATAGTCGCGAATGGGATCGCCTCGATCCGAAGGGTCAACCCTGCTCTGACTTCAAGGCCTACTGCAGTATGATAGAGAAGGACAGCACCTACCTCGGTGAGCTCGAAATCGCTGCCCTTTCTTATATTTGTCATCTCAAGACTGTTGTCATCCCGCAGGGCCTTGACTTTCAGCCTGCCGCGTACAATGCCCGCGAAAAGAAGGTTGCTGTCCTGTGGTTCACCCCAGGGCATATTGACCTTGCCCTCCCGAAGGACAGTGGCACCCAGTACCCGAGACATACACCAAGGTGACACAAGGTCCGGTTGGGGCCCTTCGTGCCGGGGGTGGCTCTCGAGCTGCTTCCTCTGAGGTGTCTTCTTGTGCCACTCCGCTTAGACAACGAGCTGCCTCGGTCGTGTCTGGATCTTCTGACCGCGCGAGCTTTGCTTCGACCAAAAGCAGGGCTGCCCAAGGATCGGTTGCCCGGGGTTCTGAGGCTTCTTCCTGTGCTACCCGGTTGCGACAAAGGGCTGCCTCACTTGTGTCGGTGACCTCTGCATCTGCCGGGGCTTGTACACCCAGGGTTGCTGGTCACACTGGTGCTTTGAGCTCTAAAGGTGTCGCCTCGTGTGTTGCCACCGCCAGAGGCTCTTGCAAACGGACCGCAACACGAAAGGTTGACGTTGTCGGGGCACCTAAGGCTGCCAGAATGCATGAGGTTTGTGGCTCGTGTAGTGGTGCCTCTCAAGATGCTTGTGACAGTGCTGAGCTGCGGGAGCCCGAGAGTAACGCCAGAGTGCCATCTGAGCGACAAGTCAGGTATTGGGGACGTGCAGGGTTGAACTTAGCAGTTTTCTAACTGCTGTTGTGTGCCCTCTCTGCCCTTTTAGAGCTACTGCAAAGCATGCCATCAACCGGAAATCCAAACTCTATGAGCACTACAGGACCCACCATCCTGGCAGGACTCCTTCTGGGGTCCCGCATGGTGCTCGGCAGCCGTCTCTCGTTAAGGCAGGCAGTGGCACCGCTGTGCATTGGAAATGTCCGCTCTGTGAGTTTGGCATCCCAGCGCAGGATGCCTTTGCCAAAAGCGCTGATGCTGTCACTGCTGATAAGTTTGAACATTGCAGAGCTGCACATGCCAAGGTCTCGTGGACCCGGTTCAAGGCTCTTGACCGCAAACAAACCATCGCCAAGGCTGCTGTGACACGCCGCGGGCGAGAATGTGTGAAGTGGCTCAGTGCTGCAAAGGGTACAGAACTTGAGGGCTACAGATTGTTCTGCTGGCCGAGGGCCACACCTGCTAAGGTCCTTGCTGCCAGAGGGGGGCTTATGTCTTCCTTTGGTTGGATGTGCTTGCAGTGTAAGTCACCATTTAGGTGCACAGGAGATGCCCTCACCCATGCCAAGCGCGGACTCTGCAATCTCACCTTTGCCAAAAACAAGGCCAGGCGGAGGGTAGATGCAATCACAGCCCTTTCAAAGCTACACGCCAAGAAAACCCCGGAAGGGCCCACGAAGCTGCGTGAGAGCGAAATGCTCCATAATGCCACGACGATTTTCAGCTTGCTGCATCCGATTATAGCCACTTTGAACACTGCTGGCAAAGGCATATCTGTCGTTGATGAAATCTCCAACTTCATGGATTGTCACAACCTTCAGGTATGCACGGTTGCCGAGGCGGATATCAATGTGGCCTCCGCTCCCGGCTACATTAGAGCATGGAAGCTTCGTGGATTCCAAGCTGCTTTATCAGCGCCTGAACCTTCAGGACTGTGCAGGGTGGCTTTGATTAGCCGTGTTAACTTTCGGGTCTTTCAGATCGCCAAAGGCTTCGCTCAACACAGGTGTGCAGCGGGACTTTTCGAGTTTCTTTGCAACGAGGAAGTGTGCCAGTTTGTCATTGCTTCGTTCTATGGGCAGTCAGGTAATGCACCTGCTGCCGCGGCGCAAGCTGATGATGTTCTTGCTGCTTGCAACCACAGCAACCTTCCTTACATCGTAGCTGGAGATTTCAATTTAGAGCCCAATGAAGCCATCATTGGAGAAGCCCGGGCTGCAGGAGCCGTTAAATCACTTGACGATGTGTCTTGGGGGGCCCCTTTGCCTGCCACCGGCCCAGGGCGCAAACGAAGAATCGACTACGGCTTATGCCACTGGTCGGTTGCTGCCAGTTCGGTCCTGCATTTTGACCCGGTGTTTTCTGCTCATGCTTCGGTCTGTTATGAGATCCCGCTTGATGTCCCACCGTTTCATGTCGGGCCCAGGCGAAGCCCCCTTAACAATGATTCTAAGGAGGACATTGCCGAAAAGTTTGACCAGTTTGATTGTGCACCGTTTCGAGCGGCCCTGAGCCAGGGCGATGTTGATAAGGCATGGTGCATCCTGTCCAATTGGGCAGAAGAATGCCTCACTACGAGTGATCCAGAGGCTGTACTTCGGAGCAGCTCCTGGAAACCACAAAAATTTGTCAGGCAGGCCCGGAATTGCATACAGGGATCAGCTGCGGCAAGGGCTTTAGCTAAGCTTCAACGTCAGCTTGCGGCTTGGTTTGAGACGGGAGACAAACATGTTTTGAATAAGATCTTTAGGTCGCTGCCCCGTGTCCGCTCCTTCGTCCCTGAGTTGCCTTGGGTCAAGGAGGATTGTGTGTCCACACTAAGGGACTTCGTCAACACCGCGCTCCCCTGCCATCAGGCGCAGGATGCTGCAGCTGTCAAGGCCCAGTGGAGAAAGCTACTTCGTGATGACATAGGCCGTCAGCGAACCTTTATCAAAGCGAGGGCCGATGCACAACTTGACTTTGAAAAACGAGTGATAGAGACACATGAGGCTAAGCTTGCAGGCCCTGTTCATCCTTCGGTTATGGTCCGGGAACAAACCAAGGCTTGGGTCCAAAAGTGGCAAGCCCAGCCCCTTGTCCATCACGATGCTATTGATCAGGTCTTGGCCAAGGTGCCGGCTGTTAGGCGTACCCAGCTTGACATTGACTTTTGTGCGGAGGGCCTCCGCTCAATTGCGGCCTCGATTGCGGATAAAGCGGCGGGGCCAGATTGCTGGCAAGCAGGCTGTCTGTGCAAAATGCCCTTGTTATGGTGGGCCATGGCAGCTGAGCTGTGGAGTCACATCTGGGCTCATGCTACTGTGCCTAACCTATGGAAGGATGCCAAAGTGACACTCATCAGGAAAAAGGGTGGGCCCACCACCAGGCCCATCACTTTGACTCAAATCATGTGGCGTATCGGGGCCAAATTTGTGGCCCGGGCATTGCGCGAATGGGCCCCTGAGTGGGCTTCTGAGAGTGATCATGGAGGCCTCCCGGGTCGTTCCATCAGTGATGTCCTCTTTCAGGTTCAGGCTGCCCTTAGCCGTGGCACGAACACTGCTGTTTTGATGGATGTGGCGGGTTGTTTTGATGCCATGAATGCCACGATGATGAAGAAAGTCTTCACTCATCTAGGTGCACCAGTGCAGTTGGCTCTACTTCTCGAGTCATTCTACTCAGGTGCTCGCCGGTACTTCTGCTTTGAAGGGTCCTTTGACCCGGAGTGCCATGTGGTGCACTCCGGCCTTGCATAGGGCTGCCCGCTGAGCCCCATCGCTGCTGCAGCATTGTCGCATTGTTGGAGTGCGTACATAAAGTCTTCCTGTTGCCACGTCAATGTGCAAATTTTCATGGATGACCGCACCTTGTTGCTGGAGCCTGAAGGATCATGCCAAGATCTTGACCAAGCGCTTAGTGCAAGTGCTACTTTCGACTCGGCATTTTCGCTCAGCCTCTCGCCCGAAAAATGCTTCATTGCGTCGAGCCACCTGAATGTGCAGTCACAACAGCTTGCGGCTCGTTGGGATTTCTTAACATGCCACACCCTTGACCTGTTAGGAGTCCGCTTTGAGTTTGATGGCAAAGGTACCATACCCAAGTTTTCGTTGAGAAAGGCGGTTCTCCGTCTTAGGCTCTTACGGTGGACCCAGGCCTCCACGAGGGATCGCATCAATTTGGTGAGGACTCTTATCATGCCATGCCTGGCCTGGGCCTCGGGTTTCGCGCAGCCTTCTCGCGAGGGCATCGAGGCAGTACGTACTGAGGTAAGGTTTTTGTTCAGTGGAGGATATGGGGGTGACACCGCCACTGTAGCCTTCTTTGAGTTGCTTGGGTGGGGTCTTGAACCCAACTTTGCTCTTGACTTGGGAGTGTGCAGACTGGCGTGGAGGTGGATTGCTAAACCACCCGTGTGGCAGGAGCTGCTCCCGATAACGGCACGCCCTCACATGTGGATTAATTGTCTTCCACAACTCCAGGCACTGTAATTGTCTTCCACAACTCCAGGCACTGCTGACCAAAACAGGTTGGTGGCTGAATGATCAGGTTACCGCTTTTCACAGGCGGGATGCTCAGTGCGGCCTCCGGAAACTGTGTATTGGTTATGAGAGCTTCAAGGGCATCAGGGTTTGGCTTGAAGGGTTTTATCGTGATCAGTACCTCCGGCGGTGCAAGAGAGTTCCGAACAGCCTTCACCGTGCACCTGACCCTGACTTGGCTCAGGGGTTGGACTTGCAGGCCCCGCCGCCTGCGTACCGCGTTCAGTTCCAAGGACATAAAGCAGTTCTGGCGGACCAGTCCTCGATGTACCACCGCCGTGCTGCCTTTCTGTCTGGGGGCACCACTTGGTTCTTCAACAAGGCGGCCCCTGCTGCCCAGTTGAGCCACCGAACAAAATGCCTCTGTGGAGCATCAAGACCGAGCCGAGCCCACTTACTTTGGGTTTGCCCCCACACTGAGGACATCCGCGCAAATCTCGAGCCTCCAACACACCGTGGAGGCAAATGATTGCTGTCCAAACACCTGCGTGAGCAGCCTCTCGATTCGGGAGGAGCTGACCACATCACATTCCATTGTGATTGCCACCGATGGGTCTGCAAAGGATGATGTCGCGGCTCATTCGGTCGTTGTCAATACATGTGACCGTGCTTTTTTTGGCGGCAACGACAGTGAGGATCAGTCCTCCTTCAGGGCTGAAATGTGTGCTTTAAAGCTTGCTTTGGAAGCTATGCTTGCTGCAGTTAATCAGGGTGCTAGGGGCAGGGTTATCCTTGCTGTTGACTGTGCTGCTGCTCTCAAAGCTCGTTTTAGTTGTCCGTCGATGCCCCTTTTTGGAGTACGACTTCGGTCGCTTGCCACAGAAATTAGGAGTAGGGGTGTTGAGATTTCTTTCAGTTGGGTCCCGGCTCACAATCGTCACCCAGGTTGGAAGTCGCCACACCCTGAATTTAGTGCTGAACAGCTGAGGTCATTAAATGATGCTGCCGACCGCTCTGCCAAGGCTTGTGTGGAAAGGCGGCTCCGAGGATCCTTGCGTGAGAAGTGGTGTGCTGATGCAGCTAAGGTTAAGAAATGGGAGGCGACTGCGGTTCGAGCGTCGGCCCTTGCGGCTGAGCGACTTAGTGCCCACCTTGATGCCTGTGCCGTACGGAGGGACGCTGTCGCGGAAGTGTCCTGACACCCACTCCTTCGCTGACCCTGCTTTCCCCCCTAGGGTTTAGGTCCTCTTCCCCCTAGGCTGGGTGACGGTTGGGCTATACCTCGTACCTGCTTCGCTGCACTGCACCTCCCCCACCCCTTAAGGTTTAGGGCCTCCCCTTCCTTAGGTTAGGTGCCGGGGAGTCCCCCCTGTCCCCCCCTTTCGGTTTAGTCCTCGACCTCCCTAAGGGTTTACGGGTTTTCTTGCGCGCTTGGCTGCCGTGCCGAGCTTCTTGCGAGCTCCTTCTGAGCTACGGGCCGGGGCAGCTGTCGTGACCGCTGTTGCTTCAACTGTCTCCGCTCTACAGTGTGTGTGGCCTGCCGGCCTTTCTTGTGACTGTTGCAGCTGTCACTCCAGAGTGCTTGCTGTACTACTTCGACCTCGGTGGCTACTACCAGGCTGTGGGTGGTTGGGTTGGCTGCGCCTTGCCTTCCGTTCACGGTCAGAGGTGTGGTGCCAGACTCCACTGTGCTCAGCTGGTGCTGGGCTTGGCAGCTGGTGCTTCGCGCGCCTTGCTGCCCCACTTTGACTTCGGCCTCCACTGACTGCTTCTGGTGAGTGTCGGTGCTCTGCAGCCGGCGCCCCTGGTGCCTTGCTGCTTCGCCGTCGGTGTCTACTACCAGACTGGGTTGGTGGAGGTTTTCTTCGACTTCGGCGGCTACTACAAGGCTGTGGTGGGTGGCAGTCCTGTCTTTACCTGCCTAGGCTCGTCGGTAGGCTGAACAACTGTGGGACTGCAGCGCTTACTGCACCCTGCAGCTGGCTCTCCAAGGGCTTTGCTGCAACTACTTTGACTTCGTCGTCTTCACGGAAGTGGTTTGCTTGCAGCCTGGGCTGTCTGGCCCTCTACGACCTCGTTTTCTACTTGCGGTGTTGAGGAAGCACGGTCTAGTGCTGAGCAAACCCCTGGACTTTGCAGCTCTCGAGCTGCAGGTCAGCCTCCTTCGTTTTCCACTTACAGTGCCTCGTGGGCTCGACTTCGTCGGCTTTGCTGGGCTGCTGGCGGCTGGCTTCTGGCTTCGCAGCTGGCAGCTGGTGCTCTGAGCTCGAACAACTTCGTCGTCTGACCGTAGTGTGTAGTTGTAGTTGTACATAGCCTTCTGGTCTGTGCAGAGTGACCAAGTGGCTCCGGGCTCCTGTTGCTTTAGGCATGGCTCGCTTGCACACTTCAGGCATGTATAAACCACTGTTTTCTTGTATAGCTTTTGTCCTTTTACGGCGGGGCTAAACCTAAGGTGGTTTCGCTCTTGAAGTCGTCTAAGCTTCAGCTGGCTTTTAAAAGCTCGCTGCTCTCAGTAGCTTCCCGGCAAGGATCCGGAAGACTCACGACTCCAAACAGACACGTCTTGTGCTTTCGAGTGCTGGGCGCGAGTACTTAACAAGCAAAAGAGTCCCTGCTAAGGAAGGCGATGACCACGGAGTTCCCCTCCACGCTAGTCCTCATGGAGCTCGCTGAGGAACTGTCCGCTAAAAACTGCGAGCTACAGCTGCAGTGG